GTTGTATTGAGATTTTTTCAAAAAGAGGGTCAACAACCTCATAAGTCTAGAGGTTCGGCAGAACATGAACCAACGCCATGAGTATAGAGGTCGGCCAAAAAAGCCAATCCTATGAGTTTCCACGAAATCCTTCCCTCATCTTGATAATTATCCACACCATTTTTCCAATCCGTCATCTTTTCACTATAGTATCATTATGCTTGGCAGACCACACTTGTAACCCTAATAGTAAACTAATATAGTACCTCTTTCCCTAATAAAATATGATAAATATCAACTCTGTAAGTTGTCAAAAATGCATTGTGGGATAACCAAACCAACACCAAAGTTTAGTGTTCATAAATACTTAATTTTTGTGATGACACCTCATTTTGTTGGTTCTTACTTTTATATGTATCAAGGTTAAGATTTTCACTTGAGATGCGTTGTGGGATAACCAAACCAACACCAAAGTTTAGTGTTCATGAATACTTAATTCTTGTGATTGACACCTCATTTTGTTGGTTCTTACTTTTATATGTATCAAGGTTAAGATTTTCCCTTCAGAACGTGATTAATATCAACTGGGCGGTCGTCCATGTATCAGATATTGCAGAAAGAGTGTTGGCTAAAAAGTCAACTCTATAAGTTGTTACAAATGCATCCTTCTCTCTTACCAAAATATACTCACGTATTTCTTACTATTTAACATCTTATTGCCAATGTGGGATAACCAAAGCCAACACCACATTTCAATATTTGAGAGTACTCAACTTTTATGATGCTATATCCTTCCTTGTGATTATTAATTCTATATATAAATAGATTAATAGATTTTTTGCAAAAGAATTTGGATGCCAAAGAAGTCCTATGGGTGCAAAACTTATGTCGTGAGTTGGTACATCTGCCAACAAACAAACTAGTCATCTATTGTTATAACATGGGAGCTACAGCAAATCCGAAATTCCACTCCAAAATGAAACACTTGGCACTTGACCATCATTTTTCTCACGAAAATGTTCAAAACCAACAATTTCGTGTGTCATACATTTATGAAAATGATCAACTTAATGATGGTCTCACTAAGCCTCTTGCTCGAACACAGTTCCTTGAGTTTAGGTCCAAGATTGGTCTCACTACTCAACCGTCCATCTTGTGGGGGAATGATAGAGATACATCAAATCATATCTCTTGATCACCAAAATCACAATCTCTTGATCTATTCTCTGTTCACATCCCATGTAACTATTTTGTAATTTCTAGGATAAAGTAATTAACTTTATAATCTCTGAGGATAGAGTTTATATTTCTCAAATTGTGTATATGTACTCGATATACTCCAATCAGTTCATTGCGTTTTCAATTTAGATCTAATTGTTGTTGTATGCACATTTATATATATATATATATATATATATATATATATATATATATAGGCACGTTCAAATGAAAACCGTGCATTTCTAAGAAACCGTGTAAACTAATTTCGACTAATAGGAAAATTCCATTTTTTTTAATTAAATTTAATCAATAAAGGTATTTCGGTCATTTACAATATTTTCGATTAAATAAGAAATTATTAATAAATCTTAATCAAGGTAACGTAATAAATGAAATTTTATAAATGGTAACATTTAAATATTTGATTATATTATAATTTAAAAAATTTGAACTAAGCATATTGTAATGCGATTGAATCTGCTGGTGAATTTTGAATATTGTAAGGCATAATGTAATGAATTCATCAAATCATGATTGAAAAAAGAAATTAATACAAATGAAACAAGTTTCATGAAAGTGAAACTGGTTCATGTCATAATTGAACAATGAGTAGTGAAACATTTTCATGGTGAACCYRTTTCATTGATGGTGTAGTTGATCCATTTAGTAGGTGAAGTGGAAAATGAAACGGGTGCATAATGTATTTGGTTCGTCATGAAATAATTGAATGATGAAACGGGTACATGATGAATCTGTTACAGAATCTTGAAGATTGTAATATGCTCCAGAATCTTGAAGATTGTAAGGCTTAAAGGAATGAATTCATCAAATCACGGGTGAAATAAGAAAATTAATGTACATGAAATAAGTTTCATGAAGGTGAAACTGGTTCATGGCGTAATTGAACCAAGAGTAGTGAAACGGGTTCATGGCGTAATTGAACCAAGAGTAGTGAAACGGGTTCATGGCGTAATTGAACCAAGAGTAGTGAAACGTGTGCATAATGTATTTGGTTCGTCATGAAATAATTGCATGATGAAACGGATACATGATGAATCTRCTCCATAATCTTGAAGATTGTAATCTGCTACAGAATCTTTAAGATTGTAAGGATTAAAGAAATGAATTCATTAAATCAGGAGCGAAATAAACTAATCTATGTACATGAAACAAGTTTCATGAAGGTGAAACTAGTTCATGGCGTAATTGAACAATGAGTAGTGAACTTGTTTGATGGTGAACCCCGTTTCAGTGATGATGTAATTGATCCATTTAGTAGGTGAAATGCAAAATGAAACAGGTGCATAATGTATGCGGTTTGTCATGAAATAATTACATGCTGAAATGGATTCATGATGAAACCGGTGCGTCTTGAAATAATTTCATAATGAATAGGGTGCATATTTACATGGGTGTGTGAAGGACATTGAAACAATTTCAGGATAAAGAATAAAAAGGCTACTGCATTAGCGAAATTATTTCCTAACAAATAGAAATTTTTAATTTCCTAAAATAAAGAATAATATCCTTCAATAGGATGTTACAGAATATGTATTTTTGTTTACCATTTTGTCATTATTGCTGATATAAAAATAAAATTTTAATATATATATTTTTTAATTTCCTAAAATAAAGTGAATTAATCTTGACCATTGATCAAGAAAATGGATGGATGAGATTGGTTTACACGGTTTACACAAATGGATGCGGTTTTCATTTGAACGCTCCTCTCTCTCTATATATATATATATATATATGTATATATATATATATATGTATATATTTCCTGCATACTAGTACAACATTTTTTGCTTTGGCAATTTTTATTGTATAGATGGTGCAATTGGATAATTAAAATTAAGCATTCTTGGAGACTGAAGTAAATAGAAACGATGTGGTACTCTTTACAAGTTTTTAAAAAATTAGAGAAAAGGTGGTTTCATGGTTGATGGCATCAAATGGAACTTCACCAAGATCTTGGTGAACAAAAAGGAAAAGTTATCAAGAGATATGGTTCTTGCTTACTAACTTGTAATATATATATATATATATATATATATGTTTTTAGTTTTTGAGAAAGTCTGTTCCTAAATAGAAAGATTGATCGAGGTTTTTTGAGAAAGTCTGTTCCTAAATAGAATGATTGATCGATATTCAAAGTCAGTTACAATTATCATCTTCATTAGATAGAAAAGTGTGTCGTTTCTTGGCGACCATTAATCATCTCTCAAGTAATTGGATTTATGATGTTTTTAAAAGATCTCGTTTTTGGATCCATTGGAATGTATAACCCACGAAGCACTCGTAAGGTACACAACTTATCAACGCACTTTATTGGTTATTTTCTTATATTTTCTGATCATCGATCTAACCCCCTACTTTGCTATGAAGGAACTCTCTTTGCTTGATCAACAATTCCTTCACATAGTTGTGTTGATTAGATGAAATTTTGTTGGTTCCATTTCAGGTTAATCTACTTAATTATGCTAATCGTAACCGAGCTGGGGATGGTGTACAGTACAACAACCGTAGATCAAGAGAAATAGCAACGATCAAGAGGGCAAAGGTACCATCTTTTTTTTCTCTACTTTGTTGTCATGGAATTTTTCTTTGCTTTGCTTTATCAAAGATTCTTTGTACTTAGGTGTCGTTTACTAAACGTTTACCCGGGTAAGCGCTTACCAAGTCACTTTACTTTATCGGATGAATATGGCAAGGACTAAGAATCTTACTCAGTAAGAGCGAAGGCAAGAATCGAGAGTCTTACCCGGTAAGTGAGGACGATGACTCTTACCATGGTTAACGCTTACCGGGATAAATTGTTGCATACGATGCGTTTTAGTGAATAAAATCTTACCCGGTAATGTTGAATTTTACCGGTAAGTGTTTAGGTAAACAGTCCCTTAGTCGGTGTTGATGAGATGAATCTTATATATATAATAGAATATAAAGGTAAACAAAATTGTTTGATTTTCTATAGTATAATGGGTTCATTCCCTAAAAGTCCAAATTCTTATTCTGACTTAAATTCAAGGGAATGAAAATTCGTTCCAGGAAATCTCATGTTCATTCAATTCCGCTCTCTAAACCAAACAATTCTTTAGCTTCATTTTGAAGATATATAATCTAATAGATGAAACTTTATTTTTTTAGGTATAGAATTGAATGTTGTTGTGTGTTTTTAAGAGAAATTGTGCTCTTCATCCTTACTTACATATTCTCGGGTTTTACATCTCTCTTCTTTACGCAAGTAAACAACTAATATATATATATATATATATATATATATAAACGAACGTAATTGAACCAACAAGACATTTCTTCGTGTTCGTTCAATTAATTAAATGAACTAAAAAAAATTTCCATGTTTGTTCGTTTATTAAATAAACAAACATAAGATGAACTTCTAATCGAATGGTTCACCAAGCGTTTAGTATTTACGACCCTAACAAAGAGTAAAATAGTTGTTTCCGTGAAAGTCCTTCAAATTAATGATATATCATCAATCTCATGGGTTCTTTCAGCTTTCACAAAATAACTCGTTGATTGATCAAAGAATACACATAAAATAAAGTAAGGGGACGTTTGTTTTGATGGAACGATTTTAAGAGAACTGGATTTCGTGGAAGGATTTGGAGTCTGAAGGATTTGAAATCTTTGGGGTATTTGATTTTTAGGATTTGGAATGAAATTAAATTCCATTGTTTGTAAAATAATTTATAAAAACAAATTATAAATAATAATAAAAATATTTAAATTACCTTTTTATTAATTGATTATTATAAAACAGATATTTTCAACATATTTTAAAACATCATTACACATAAATCATACGAAACCCCGACAACCTCCATAGGATTTCCAACTCTCATGTTTGTAGGATTTAAATCTAAGCAATCATTCGAACCAAACATGGGATTGAAATGGAATTGAGTTCCAAATCTCTTCAAATCCTACAACCAAACTCGACCTAAGAACACATGTATATAGTAACAAATTCAAAAACCATATCATTTATGCTTCATATAAAAGCATCCAAAGGAATCAGTTCACTGCCACAACTTCTTCCCCTCCACTGGGGATCAATGGCTCAGAAGGGCTAAATACCCTGGCAATCTTCTCAGTAGGCACCAATGGTAGATATGAAGAAACCTTGTATCCTTTCTCTGCTGTTTGCTGCACTGTTTGGTTGTACTTGTCGGAACAATAAGCTGCTGTCGGTACAACCACTTTAGCCACCTTCGCAAAGAGTGGAAGCTGGTTAAGTGAGCCCCAAGCCGAAGCAGCATATATTTCAGCGACTGGCTCATACTTGGTGTACAGTCCTTTGGCCGTTGGCTCCAGCTTGGTGTATGCAGTTTTCGCAAGCCCAGAAGCTGTATCGACCATGCTACTATTCTTGACCTCATTAGCCACAGTAGATAGGCTTTTTGTTTTGGTGGATACCTGCTTCAGTATAGGTTGGACTCGGTTGTCCAATTTCGACACAGACTCCTCAACCTGAAAACATATCAAATACATTAATCTAAGACCATGTATGGCAACCATACGCTTAGTTTTTTTAATTAATTTAAAAATCCCACTTGTACATCATAAGCTAGTTTTTTGAAAAGCTAATACAAATAGCTTCTTATAGCATCTCCATGAGATTCTCCAAGATGGAGAAAATGGAGATTTTGAACCAATTTTATGTTCTAAGAGTTTTCCTAAACCCATCTCTAAAATGAAAAAAGTAGGAAAAAAATGTTTTTTCCCCACATATGGGGAGCACCCCAAAAGTGCTTACGATGTGAGAGAAATATTTTTTAATATATTTCTACCAAAAGGAAACTTTGAAAATAATCACTTAGAGAGAGAATATTTTAATCAACGAATGAAATATTTTAACATTATAATCAATGTTGGATTCTCCAAAATGGGAATCTCTTGGAAATGAATGTAATTTTTTTTAGAGATTTTGACTTTTGGTTCTCTATTTCGGAGAAACTCTTAAAAGGTTTTTTTTTCTCCACATTATACCCTTATATTTTACTTTTAGATCATTTTACATAAGTTATACAGCTTATCAGCTAATTTTTACCAATCGTGACTAGTTTATCGGCTAAGCGTATTAGCTTATCAACTAATTTGCCAAACAAATCCTAGATACTAGTAAAGTATTTTTGCCACAGGCATTGCATGAGCACCATTTTGCCAAGGATCTAAACAATAATGGCCTTTCTCAATTTTTAAGGTCCATGCTGCAATGAGTTGGTGTCAATTTGAATTGGAAGCTTTTTTTGCTGCATTAAGGAAAAAGAGAGGACTAGTAATGGCATAATTTGCAGGAAATTTGTCACCGAAAGTTTAAGAACCATCGGTCTCAGAACAAATAATCAGTTTTCACAATTGTTCTTCTCTTTCCTCCATAAGATGCACCCTTTGGTCCAAGAAACAAACTTAGAAACAAGAAAATATTTGCTTCAATATAAAATATCAATAACACTACCATGCCAGATAGGAAGATAAACTGACCTTCTGATCAACAAACTTGAGGACCTCAACAGGAACATCATGGAGTTTATCATATGCAGGACCAACAACGGTCTTAAGAGTGCCCTCTAATGTTTCCACACTAGGCTTTAGCGGACCAGAGTTGTCCTTGGCATAACCATAAACCCTTGACGCATATACAACGGTATGCAATACTGCCACTTGCACGAATTCTAGGTACTTCAACCTCTCCTGTTCGCTCTCAACCTTCTGTAACAAGAAAGTTCATTTCCAATGAGTCATTGTAGCCGAAGACAGGCTTGCATGATATAGTTTATGAAAATCTCCAACAGCTATGCTATAATTTTCTTAAAGCCCTTTATTAAAAGTCAAAATTTCTAAAAAGAAACTCCAACGGATTTGATACATTTAATATAATATTATTTCTTCTCCTATATAGAGTTTTAGAGAGTTACCCAAATTTGGACATTTCCATGTTCTCTTACTTTCTCTATTTTAACATCCGTTCTAGCATAGAGGTTAAAATTGCTAAAATCTCTATTTTAGCGTAGCGGTTGGAGATGTCTACCATTTCCCATATCCCATTTTTAACTAATATATGTATATGAGGACTGTATTTTGTGCATAAGATCATGGTTTCAGAAATAAACATATTGGAAGTAGATTGTTCAGCTATTAGCTGCTATCCCCATTTTTCCTTATGTGCAAGTTGGAGTGAATCTTGCCAAAGGATTTCAATTCGTATATCTCCCTCTGTTATCAAGTTCATAAGGATTAATAATTCACTAATCGGTATGATTCAAGTACGATGATAATCACAACCAAAATATACGCAATAAAAAACGAATGGAAGAGTTCCCAGTCTACACAGTTCAAATTCATATAATTACTTCCGATTTCCCTTAAACTAAACAACAGAATTCAAAATGAAAACAAAGTTATTTCCCCAAGATCATTAATAATCAATCAATCGAATTATCATAGATTAAAAAAGACGAAGGTTACGTACCACCTCCGATTGAGGAACAGGAACATCAATTTCGGCCATGATCAAAGAGAAACACTTGAAAGATATCTTCTGAGAACACAATAAATCGACGATGAGTAGCAGGGTGTGTGAAAGGATGGATTGATGGATCCGTATTTATAGCAAGGGTTTGGACAGAGTAACTCCTCTTTCACATTGATGGAGATGAAACCGTGTGTCAAACTGAATATTACACTTAGGACCCTATGTTTTGGTTATATGTCTTTGGTAGACCCTTAACTTTTACTTTTTGCTTTAAAGCCACAAAATGTTGCTTGGAAATCAAATTTGGTATTTTTACGATCAGCAAATGGTCAAACAGTCAAGGAAATGGCAGATCCAACGATGTTGTTGCATAATTTGTTATGGTGTAATAGTTTTTAGTATTTTAACCGGTTCATAGCCCAATAATTGAAACTCATGAATATCAGTTATAACTTATAACTAGTCTTTAAATAAGCAATCTCAAATACCCCCTTAATTCCCACCTCTACAATATATGATCCCTGATGGTGACATACAGGTATGTAATAGGTGGGGGCTGGACCCCTATTAAATCTTTTTACCTAATTTAATTTTTTTTTTGTAACTTTCTATCATAGTTCCCCTCAGTATTTCTCACCTATGTTTCCACCAACCAAAAAAAGTATCTTGAAATCCACCAAAAAAATCTCTCAAAATCAACCGAAAAAATACCTCGTAATTGACCAAAAAAACTTAAAAATTCCTTGAAATCAATCAAAAGACTTTAACATCCCTCAAAATGGTGGAATTATACTAAAAACACATTAGCGACTTTACGGGCCTTTCAATCTACTTTAAGGGTGCCCTCTTAGGCAAATATTTTAGATCCTCCACTGATCACATAGTTCCACCCCTTATCAAACCTTAACCATTGCCATTTTCATATGCATTTCATCCGTTGCATCGTATACGAGAAGCTTTATTTGTTCACAACGGTTTTCCTCGATCATGCAATTGATAGAGGCGATCATTTGAGCTGGATATGTCATTTTTGTCTAAAGTCTATTTTTTACAGGCTTGACAAGTGGCCATTATTCATCCCACAAATATATCAGGTTTGCCTACTGGTTAACAAAACTAAAAAGTCTTTTACCTTTTAAAATAGAAATAACTTATACAACTTCTATCTACAAATTAAACATCTTTTGCTATATTTTCTACAAGCTAATAAAGAAATCAAAGACATTTGTTCAACTGTAACAAGTAAAATGTATTGTTATTTTTTTCATTTATAGCTATGATAAATATTAATTGTTATTATTTATTATTTAACAATAATTATATATTATTATTTAATATAAATTATTAATTTATCA